GTCTGGTGATGAGGACCAAACCGGGACATTGATCTGAACTCTGCAAACAAAAAGGATAAAAAGAGACCCTTAATTTTCTTTTAAAGACTGAATTGATTCTTTAATGAAGTTTAAGCTGTGTTTATTGGATCAGGGAGGTTCTGTTTGGTTCTGACTTCACACCGACCCAAACTCCAGACCCAGCCTCCTCCCTGGAGCAACAACCCGACCCGTGAGTGATGCAGAACCGGCTGCAGAGGCCCCTCATGTGACCAATGTGTCTTAAAGCAGCTTATTGTAAAATCTCCTATAACCACCAGGTGGCGACATTGAGTCGTGCTGCAGGTTCCCTGCTGTAATCTGGAGATTTGGATCAGAAAAGTGGGAAAAACTACAAATAAAATGGCATCAGTGACGCTCAAACTCTTACGTCAGTTCTGTGCAATCTTCTTTTTAAGAGAAGCATTCARAACAAGCCAGCTTCTCTACTCTTTTTGACAAAAAGGGGACTTTTCTTTCCATTAAAGGACTCTAAAAATAGTTTTCTTGAGTTTATTTTGGTTTTGTGCAGCAGCTTGTGAAGAGGTGAGGTTGCCACGGGCAGAAGAAGCTGGCATGAGAGCAGTTAGTTACACACGGCTGTCCTCAGTGTTCTTTAGACCCGGCTCACAGAAACAAAACAAAAAAAAYTGGGGGGACCACTGGAGCTCTTGTGTTCTCAAGAGCTGTGGTCACAGCAACCAGCAGCCTCCWCCCGTCTCCCTCCTGGTCATTACTGAGCGTGTGCGTCTGATAGAAAAAAAAAAAAGGTCAACAAGTCCAGGCTGAGGCCTCGGGACAAAGCACTGACGCCCGTCCGGTGACGACACTCCTGATGGTGTCTAAAAGTAAAGTTTGAGAGAGAGAGAGACATCAAGGGYAGGGAGGGGATGGAGGGGGGGTTAATTACATATATGACAGAGAGACTGAGAGACGGAGAGAGTTCCTCATCAGAGACAGATCAGACAAAGCTGGGTGCAGCTGCGACACGACACAGCCGAAGGTGCAGAACCTGCTCAGAAAACAAAAACACCGAGGAGCTCAGCGACGATGGAGGTGGTCTTAACCAGGCTGCGGGACTTCTCCTGCAGGACCCCCACCTTCCAAGACAACAAAGAGGATGAGGGACATCTGTGCGGGGACCCTCAGAGTCCATTTCCTCACCTCAGAGGASGGGGCTCAGCTGGAGGAGAGGGAACCAAACTGGACCTACAGAGCGCTCTGGACTGGCTGAGAACGGAGCTGGTGAGACTCGACTGGTTGAAGTGAAACCATCATATAGCTCGTTTGTACATAAAATAAGCAAAAACAGATGACGTTGGATTTCAATGTATGAACTTCATGGAGGAGTTCTGTTATTAGAGGAAAAACTGGATTGTAGGCGATCAGTCAGCATCTTACCTGTGTAGGGGTCACCTCGAGTGAAGAAACAAGATTTACTGCCTCGAAGCAGGCCTCGGACAGGCCTGACGAGAGGACAGGAACTCTGTCACAAACTGAACTCTATTTAGGCCATGACAGGTCATTCCAACCCAGAAAAGAACCCCTCGGTTCTCAAATAATGGACAGAAACAATCTCTTCTGTTC